CTATAAACTGCAAAAGAAAATAGAGGATGTCTAGTTAGCATTTTCCAAAGTACAGGATGTCTGGTTAGCATTTTCCAAAGTACTTTGAAGCTTTGATGAGTAACATTTGTATTTTAATTGTAATTATTCAGGATAATTTATGCTTTCACGTTTATGGACTTCCGAGGAGAATAGGGGAAGCATCCCTTCCTGAAAATTTGCAACTTCACCTGATGCATTTCAGTGCTCTAGATATCCATTGGCTTTGTCAGTGTATTCAATAACATGCAGCTTCAAATACACATATTATTATTATTATTATTATTATTATTATTATTATTATTATTATAGGATATCAGACCTTCGGATATTCAAGACAACTACACGGTTTGCTCTTCATGACAACCTGAAGATGAACAAGCACATTCATTCCAATAAAACTCTACAGTAGATATATAATCGACCCAGAATTCTCACAGAAGCGCAGAAACAACATACATCATGTACCATTTTGATCTGCATTGCAACTGTGTTCCTTTAGTAAAAGATGTTGAGTTGAATTTTCATCAACACGATTGAATCAATATGAACAGATTGTATCGCAGTGCTTAAATGTCTCTTAAATTTATTTTTTTGACTTCTAGGAAGCTTTGGAAAACACATATTCTGAGGTTGTTGCACAGAGTCAAGAGCCCCTAACTAGAGAGCAGAATTATAATGTGAGCCATTTAGTTTGTGGACTTCCTAAAAAAAGGAGGACCAGGTGGATGGGAGTTGGAGCTCAGAGGGTGTCTACACAATTCCAGCCTCCGTCGATTTCCACACCCTCGACTATGCCATCGGGGCCCTCTAACATGCCGCAGGAGGATTGCACTCAGCAGACGATGCAGCTTGTTTCCTCTGTGATGAGTATGTTAGATGGTCAGATTCCCGAGGAGATGTGGGAGGATATTCAAGAAGAGCTTATGCGAGTGATCCAGCCTACTGCTACTTTTGCGATGGTTTCTAGGCAAATAATGAAATCTTGTAGAAGGCGGGTTCCTACTCGGGTGCAAAGCCAGATTATGAACTTCTTGGCCACTCAAAAGGCATTTACTGGTAGTGGAGAGAGTAGCAGACAACATCTTTATAGTTGAGATTATGATACTCGTGTTTGTATATTGTGGATTTAGAACTTATGATATGTGTGTATTGTTTGTTGTGAAAATTATTATTGTGGATTTGGAACTTATCGTAAAAAGTGAATGTATATATTTCGATTGTTCGTGAAAATTGATTGGATGAGAGGTTTAATTGGGAAAATTTGGATTGTATTCATTGCGAGATGTTTTGGAATGCGTGTGAAATGTCGTTTGGAGATTATGTACAGGGAATATATATATGTACAGGGAACTGAGTATATATCAGCAGAATTTTTTTAGCTGCTGATACTTATCGCTGACGGGCTTCCCGTCAGCGATACCTATCGCTGACGGGATTCCATTTAGCTGATATCAGTTCCCTGTACATATTCCCTGTACATACAAATCTGCAAACATCTCTCATTCAATTTCCTGCACATTCACATCTCGAAATATATCCAAATTTCACAAACATCTCTCATTTGACGGGTAGCCCGTCAGCGATGTTATAAACATCGCTGACGGGTCCCCGTCAGCGATAAGTATCGCTGACGGGGATCCCATCAGCGTCAGTGTGTTCACCGACGACGATCTGTCGTCAGTAACATATGTCATTGACGGGATCCCCGTCAGCGATAGAGAAACATCGCTGACGGGAGTCCCGTCAGCAATGTTTCATTATTACTGACGGCCTTTGTCGTCACCACTTATGCCGTCAGTAATACATATTACTGACGGACCCCCGTCAGCGATATTTCTTCCCTGACGGGACTATCGCTGACGGCATATTCTTGACGGGACGCCGTCAACGATATGCATTTCTGACGGGAATTTGGGCATCGCTGACGGGAATGCCCGTCAGCGATACATGATTTTCCACTAGTGACGGTAAAGCTTGTATAAACTTAAGTGTATTGAAGGCTCAGTCCGCCAAGATTTTTAAGTGTTGGATTCACTTAATTAATCTAAATCTTAATCTAATTAACAATTTTTTATTTAATATAAAAGTAGTTTGGAAATAAAATACAACAATATAGAAAGTAATTAAATATGAAATCACGTTCTGAGATTTATGTGAAGAAAATATTTCTGTTTCATCTCTGCTTCTCTTTATGAGGTTCCTATGGAGAAAAAAAGTTTGGGAACATATATTATACAACTGTCTTCATGCTTTCATGACCCCATCGTTGTTAGCACACGTAGTGATAATAAAAAGTTTTATTTTTTTCATAGTAGTGGCTAACACACGGCTACCCGAAGTTTGTTCCATCAAACTTCTCAATCTTGGATGTTTCCTTCTCAGATCCCATTGTTTCTGACCTCAAATCGCTCGCGCCGAACCTGGTCGCTCTGATACCACTTGTTGGGGATGCACAATCCCCCTGATGCGATTTGGAAATAGAGATTTAGGAGAGAAGAGAGAAAATCAAACAATCTCAAACACACAAGATTTACGTGGTTCGCTTCTCAATGTGAGAAACTACGTCCACGGCCGCCGCAGGAGAAAAATTCACTATTTTTCAGTCTCTTTACATCATGCCCTAATCAACCCTTTTATAGACTTAAAGGTTTAACAACTAAAACAGGAAACAGATCAAAACAGGTTAAAATTCGAATCTGGGCCGAAACCCGACTCCGATCGACCGCCGCACCACATCCGGTCGACCGCGATGCTGATCGAAATCTGCCTGGCTCTCTGGACTTTTGGCGGTCGACCGCAGCGCCATGCTCGGTCGACCGCAACGAAGCCAAAAATCTGGGTTGCTCTCTGGACTTTGAGCGGTCGACCGCAGCGCCACCTTTGGTCGACCGCGACGAGTTTCTGGCCTGTGCACTCAGCTGTGCACATAGGCGGTGCGATGCAGAAAAATGTCTTCTTCGTCGTTTTGCTTGAACTCCGCCATCGTCGATCCTGTTCATCATGTTCCAACTTTGTTCCTCTTCTCTTCTGAAGTATAGGGCATGCTTGATAGTTAGGCTTCACATATCCTAACACCCTTCCACTTGTACAACTCACAAGCTCTCTCTCTCTCTCTCTCTCTCTCTCTCTCTCTCTAATTTTTCTCTCTTCAAAAATCTCTCAAAATTCCCACACCCTTTTTCTTTTCTTCCCAGCAACTTCTCTCTTCCTCACCTCTCCTATTTATAGGCATAGAAGAGGGGACAAGAGAGTATGGGTGAGCATGTGGGAAGCATGGGTGAGCATGTGGGAAGCATGAGGGGTTCCACCATCTCGTGTCCCCCCATCCCACGTTCTCACGTTCACATTTACGAAATAAAGGTAGTTTGGAAATAAAATACAAAAATATTTGGAAAGTAATCAAATATGATCATATGAAATCTCCATTAAATTCCTCTTCAATTTGATTAACCTGTAGATGAATAATTCCTTAATTAATTGCTACTTATATAGTCAAATTCCACTTCAAATTCTCCTCAACTGTATACTAATGTTTAAGCAACAACCACTTTTCTTGGAAAATCATGAATGTGAATGACTTTATCCATCCTAAATGTCCAAATAGCCACAACTATCTATGAACATACCAACAGCGTGAGGATGAATCGTTGATGTCAAGTTTAAAGTGTTAGCTCAAAGTATGTGAACAATTTTTTCTCTTCTTCAAGATCTCAGAAAGAGAGATGAGGCAATTTTTTTCTCCATGGAAATATCAGAATATTACAGAATAGGAGAAGTTCTATAATCAATGCTGAGTCAGGTTTAATGTAATAAATAGAAACTTGTTACTTAGATTAAGATCTAAATCAATTAAGTGAATCCAACGGTTAAAAAAGTTTGGATGACCGAGCCTTCAATACACTTAAGTTTACACAAGCTATATATATGTGCGTGCGCACGCGCGTGTTTTTCCCCTTGATGAAGGAAAGGTTTACTTTATACAACATATTGCAAATAAAGGCGAAGCTCATCTTAGTTTACATCAACAAAAAAAACATCACACTTGCTCAACACCACCAAATCTAGGGTTGTGTGTGAGCCGGGTCGACCCGCGGGCTGGCTGACTCAGTTCGGCATGGGTCATGACACAGCCCGGCCCGTAGTGGGTTGGGCCCGACTCGGCCCAAGATATACTCGGGTCACGGGCTGGGCTAGGTCCAGCCTCAAACCTGGGGTCAAAAAAGTAGGCTCGGACAACGCTGGCCCAACTCGGGCTGGTGGCCAATAATATATTTTTTTGGTTAGGCTAGTTGTTCTTTTAACCTTTAAGTCTGCAGCTAGCTGCTAACAAAACCAAAATGTCATAGGTCTTTTGCTTGTGGGCCTTTTAGCCTATTGAGAAACAAAGCAGCGATCTTTAAGCTTGTTATTATCTACTTAGAAGGATTAGAAAGTTTAATACAAGTTTGAAAATAGTCTAATACAAGTTTAAGTGACTAAAAGATAAATTAGAAATAATTTGATAATTGTAAATACATGTTTAATATAATTAAAGAGTTAAAAAAATTGGACGAAAAACCCACGGACCCACTCACGACCCACGGGCCTTAGGCCGGGTCAGACTCGGCCCGCAGCTAGGCGGGTCATGGGCCAGACTAGGTACAATCCTAGACCTAGGATCAAAGAAGTAGGCCCAGCCCATGTCTACCCCTAACCACATCATGACCTTTGGTAACAAATATTATCATGATCCCAACCGTATTAATTTCTTATTTGCTCCATTATATACAATACAAACGTCCCCTTCAACAGTGCAGGGGGCAATATGCCTCCTAGTTGAATGCAACCTCATAGCCATTAGAAAACGAACAGCTTGTATCCGCTTATTTATAGAATATTCACAAGTTGTGCATTAAGCTTATATATCCATTAATATTTCTTCCTTTTCATCGGCTTTACCAGAAGCAAAAACAATAATAACAACAATACTAAAAATAATGATAACAGTTCTCGCTCTTCCATGTTCCCATGGTTCCTTTATATCTTGTGAGTTGTGATACACGAAAAGAATATACCAAGAATCACTGGCTCCTGCTTACAAGCCGATGAGATTTCTGGAGGTAGTAACACCACCATCAACAACAAGATTATGACCGCTAACATACTTAGACTCATCACTAACCAAATAAAGAGCTGCTTCAGCTATATCTCTAGCAGTCAATGTAGGCCCTTTTAGATTAGCTAGCCCCCTCACAAACTCCTCCATCTTCTCTACTTCATCTTTAGTAGGACTCCCCACATCCATACCTCCCTCTTCATCTCCCTCGTCCCTCCATGCATTAACCAACATTCGAGTCGCAACACCGAAAGGCGAGATGCAGTTAACCCTAATCCCACACTCGCCAAGCTCGCATGCTGCGTTCTTCGTGAGCCCAACAATCGCGTGCTTGGACGCAGTGTAAGCATGAGGGCCAAGCCCACCTAAGACTCCGGCCACACTAGCCATAGACACAATGCACCCAGATTTCTTAGGTATCATGGCACGTGCACCGTGCTTCATGCCAAGAGCCGCGCCTCGGACGTTTACTCGCATCACGTTATCGAACTCGTCGACATCAAGATCAGTGATGGTTTTGTGGGCAGAGGTCTGGCGACCGAGCACACCAGCAATATTGCAGAGGATGTCGAGCTTGAGGTAACGAGAGAGGGCGAGTTTGATGAGTTGCTCCATGTCGTGTTCTTGGGTGACATCACAGTGGACGAAGGTGACTAAGGGTGAGAGTGAAGCGGCAAGGGATTCACCAGCTGTGTCGTCGACATCAGCGATGATGACTTTGGCGCCATGTTTGGCGAAGAGGCGAACAGTGGCTTCACCGATTCCATGGGCACCACCAGTGATGATAGCCACCTTGCCTTCAAGCCTATATAGGAAAACAATCACAAAAAAGAAAAAAAAAATTACATTGACAAAATAGCACAACATAAAAATGCAAAAATCTTGTTTTATGCTGACAGTACTTGGAAACAATAATTTTAAGTTAACAAAGGAAAAAAAAAAGACATTATCTGACTTGCCAAATATCCAGTTTATATGTAAAATTGTTCATGAGAAGCTGTGTGATTATGTTTTGCCATTAGTGCAGTTAATGAATCAAAATATCACAACAAACAAACAATGTATCCCAAGCAAATAATACAAGGAAACCAACCAAGAGAGTGCAAAGACTGGTAACAGAAACTCACCTTTTGTGGTAGGAAGCCACACCTTCTCGGCCTGTAATATATATACCTTGGTTGGATTTCTCAGTCATCACTTCGACAGTAGCCATTGATTTATGTGTGTGTGAGAAAGAGCTAGAGAGAGAGAGAGAGAGAGAGAGAGAGAGGAGTTCAAGGGATAGAATCACAGGAATATATAGTGGTGGGTTATCTAATTATTCCTTTTGAGGAGCCATGGTCTTCGATGGGGTAGAGAGGGAAAAGGTGGGCCTAGCATGTGAGCATCCCTGCGACCAATTAACCAAAAAAAAAAATGTCAATAATTCAAGAATTAAGAAGTCAATGTTGAAGCGTACCAACTGAACTATTAGTTATTTGAATACGTATGGAGACCAAACAATCCTACCAATCAGGCAACAAGTAGTTGCATTCCCAGCTAAAGAGGATCGGCAATAGATCCCACTTTGATTCTGTCCATTTATGACTCTTTATCTTATTATAAAGAAAAACAGAAACAAAGTATAATTTAAGGAAGGCATAGCTAGCAAATGAACTATCTTGTATATTAATATATACATTGTTCACCAGTTACCATCCTGGCTGATTGTATGAGCGCGCTGCCGACAAAATCCATAAAATTGGAGCGAACACGTACCCATTAGAAAGTAGACCTACTCTATCCTCATTCTGAAAATAATTCCCAGGTTTTCTTACAAGCTTTAGGAACAGAGGTTTCCTCCAACTACAGTAATCCTTTGTGCCAAACTTCTACTAACCTTTCCATTTGGTCAAGCAGCATCACAGTTATTCAAAGAATTTAACATAAACAAATGCGATTGATAGTTTGCTAGGGCAGCCAAATGAATACGAGGTCAAAACTTAGGGGGGAAGAACTCCTAGTATTTTACTTCATACCAAACTAGTCTTTGTCACTCAGTCCATAACCATCTTCTTGCGAATAGGTCAAACACAATAGCTGGAAACAAGCACAATAAGTTAAAACGGTGGGCCGGTAATATTATATAGTATACAGTATTCAACGTCAAAGAGAAAATAATCTGAGGACTCAAAAGCAACTCTTATCATCATAAACCTCAGCACCTGACGTGTTCGTCTATGTACTTCACGGGAGAAACAATCTATAATTACTACCAATATTCATCTACAGCCTTCAGGATTTCTCAGAAAGCTTCTCTAGAACAGACTAAAGCTCATTGTCCTTTCTAAGCTGAAATTGCGAAACAGTTGTGCAATTAAAATATGGGAGGATTGATAAATAATAGTTGAATGATTAAAAATAAATGTCATATCAAGATAATAGCATTGTAGCTGAAGAAGCTGTTAGCATTTTCTTAAGGAAAAGGCAATTGTGAATAGTCCCACATTGGAAGTTGAAGAGAAGTTCAAGTGGTTTATAATGGTTCACTTCCTAATGGGCTTTGAGTAATGTTTTGGGCCTACTAGTGTTTGTGCTCTTTCTCCACACACGCGCGCGTGCACGCACGCCGCGACGCGCGCGCCACGCCGCACTCGGGTTTTGCTTCTCCAGCTTTTATTTTTTGTAACGGCAGCATTTATTATGTAACGGCAGCATTTATTATGTAACGGCAGCGTGATTTACGCCCAACGGACGAGGAGATTCAGCATCGGTTACTGATTCATGAGGCTATATAAGGAGGCAGAGTTCATTCGGGAAAACACACAGAAATTCACAAAGAATTTCATAGCTCCCTCTTCCTCCTTCTGCTACTCTTAGTACTCAAAGATTTTCGGCTACATATTTTGAGAATTATTTTTGGGCAATCATCTTCATCTGAGCAGAAGCTCTGCTACTCGCGCCCGAGTAGAGAGGCCGGCCGTTTCCGGGGGGCTTTTACCGCTAGGGGGGAGGATCAACTACGCCAGGGCGACAGGCGGGTCCTCTATCTTCTAGGGCAGTGTATCACGACTGCACCCCGTTCAGGCCTGATTTTTCATAACTCATTTATTTTCAGTTAAACTAATATTGTTTATTGATAGCAATCTAGAAGATAGATAATTTATTGCTGTTAATTTAAATCTGAAAATAAATATATATTAAAAAAAAAAAATTTGTTACTGTTCACCCGAATTTCATATTTGTTTAACTGTTTTAATTTGTTAACCTTTTGCATCTAAGTAGTTAACAAATTATTTTACTGCAATAGTACTGAATTTTATATCTGTCAATTTTCATATTCAGTATCTGTCATAAAAAAAAAAAAATAAAAAAAAATATTGTTACTGTTCACCCGAATTTCATATTTGTTTAACTGTTTTAATTTGTTAACCTTTTGCATCTAAGTAGTTAACAAATTATTTTACTGCAATAGTACTGAATTTTATATCTGTCAATTTTCATATTCAGTATCTGTCATAAAAAAAAAAAAAAAAATCTTTAAATAAAAAAAAAATCTTTAAGTGAACCGGTTCAAGTTTTCTTGGATTAGTTGGTGTCTAAGGAAAGGTTTAAGGGTTGCGTAAAGCGCTCTGCAAGAAACGAGGTACTTAATCGATCATTGATCAACCTCTAGTACTATCCTTACCTGGCCAAACTACCCGAGTAAAACTTTAATCTTTTCACTTTTAGAGTTTTTGGTTAAGAGCAGGTTTAATTAAGTTTCTGGTCTAGTAGTATTAATAAAATTCTTACCCTGTTCAGATTTCAACTACCTAGACTAGTAAAACTCAAATTGGACTTATGGCAATTGATCATTCAAAAAGTGTCAAACCTGAGAAGTTCACCGGTATCAACTATAAACGGTGGGCTAATCAGATGAGATACTGGCTCACTACCTTAGGTCTCTTATCAGCCATTGACTTTCCTGAGTCTTCTACTAGTGGTACTCAACCTTTGACTCCTGATCCTGAACAGTCTGTTCCTTCCACTTCTGGTTCAGGTGCTAGCTCTCTTTCTAGCTCTATGAAACCAGAAGATATTAATTATCATTGTTGTCATAGAATTCTTAGTGCACTTGCAGACAACCTTTATGACATATACTATGAGTTCAAAAGTGCAAAAGACCTATGGCAAGCTCTTGAAGCAGAATATGGCTATGATGATGCCGGAATTCTGCGTTTCACCTCTTCGTCCTTCAATAAGTTCATGATGGTAGATGACAAGCCCATTAATGAACAAATTCATGAATTTTTAGATTTCATCCGTCATCTCCAATCAAAAGGAAACACTTTTACTGATGACTATAAAGTTTCCTGTTTGATTGATAAACTCCCTCCTTCCTGGTCTAGATTTGCTGGAGATCTCCGACACAAGCAAGGAGATCTAACCTTAACTGAGGCCCTCAAGGCCATTCGTATTGAAGACCAGCATAGGCTGAATTCCAAAACCAAGAATGAATCAAAAGCTAAAGTAAACTTGGTAGAGGAAAAGCCTAAATCTAGAAATTTCAAACCCAAATGGAAGAAATTCAAGAAAAACCAACAATCTTTCAATAAATCTTCCTTCAAAACAAATTCTTCCAATTCCAATTCTTCCAGCCATAAGTCTGATGGAAAGTTCTGCTTTGTCTGTGGTAGAACCAACCACATTTCTTCCAACTGTTTCTTTCGGAAGAAGGAACCGGCTAAACCTGCCTCTAAAGGAAATGGATCAAATAAAGTTAATATGATTGAAGAGAATCCAACCTCCTTCAGGTTAGCCCCATCACCTCATCTTGTAAATTCTCTAACTTCTTCCACTGATTGGTATCTGGATTCCGGAGCAAATATACACGTCTGTAATGATCGCTCTTGGTTTTCAAATTATCAGGAATCACGTGGAGGAAGCATAAGCTTAGCAGATGACTCCACTAAACCAATAATAGGAAGTGGAAGTATAAAGCTCACTATGACTTCTGGGAAAGCCCTACATCTGCAAGGCGTCTACCTTGTTCCTTCTCTCCGTCGAAATTTGATTAGTGAATCTCTTCTTCTTAGAACTGGTTATAGGATTGTAAAAGAATCCAACAGATTTGTGATTACAAAGAGTAATAATTTTATAGGAAAAGGTTTTATCTGTAATGGCCTTTTCAAACTCAATGTAATCAATTCCAGTTCTAATGAAAATTCTAAGTCTCCTGTTATTCAAATTGTTGAATCTTGTGATGTCTGGCATGGACGACTTGGACATGTCAATTTTCAAACTTTACAGAAAATGATCAATTTGAATCTTATTCCTAAATCATCTATTGACCTCTCATCCAAGTGTGAGATTTGTGTTCAAGGGAAACACACAAAAAAACCCTTCAAGTCTATAACTAGAAACTCTGAGCCCCTCGAATTAATTCATAGTGATGTGTGTGACTCGAATCGAGTTCTCACCCGAGGGGGTAGGAGATATTTTGTGACCTTTATAGACGATCACTCCAGATATTGTTTCACATATCTTCTCAGGACTAAAGATGAAGTCCTAGATAGGTTTAAGGTCTATAAAGCTGAGTCTGAGAACCAATTAGACAGGAAGATCAAGATCCTAAGATCTGATCGTGGGGGGGAGTATACCTCAAATTATATGACTGAATTTTGCCAAGAACACGGTATTATTCATGAGGTTACTGCTCCCTATACACCACAGTCTAACGGGGTAGCTGAACGAAAAAACAGAACCCTAATGGACATGGTAAACTGTATGTTACTCAGTTCAGGAGCACCTGAAAATCTCTGGGGTGAAGCTCTTCTCTCTGCTTGTTTTATTCTCAATAGGATTCCCCAAAGAAATTCCAATACAACTCCTTATGAATATTGGAAGGGGAGATCTCCTAATCTAAACTTCTTCCGAGTTTGGGGTTGCTTGGCTAAGGTAGCTATTCCCGAACCTAAGAAGAGGAAAATTGGTTCCAAAACTATTGATGCTGCTTTCATTGGATATGCACTAGATAGCAATGTTAATAGATTTCTAGTCATTAACTCTGAAATCAGTGACATATCCAACAACACTATCATTGAAGCTAGAGATGCAGTCTTCTTTGAAAATATCTTTCCTTTCAAATCCAAAATCTCAGAAAATTCTAGAACATCTATTCCTTCTGATCTTCCATCATCTAGTTCTTCCCAACCTTTTGACATTGAGCCTCGAAGAAGCAAAAGAGGTAGAATTCAAAAGGATTTTGGAGAAGACTTCTTTACCTTTCTTGTTGAAGGTGATCCAAGCTCATTTCAAGAAGCAATGGATTCACCTGAATCTCCTTTCTGGAAAGAAGCCATTGATAATGAGATTAAATCTATCATGGAAAACCATACTTGGATACTCACTGACCTACCTCCAGGCTGT